CTCGACCAGTCCTGCTGAAAGGCATCGATCCCGACGGCCTCGTAGTCGGGAAGGGCGACTCGATCACATAGTCGGGAAAGACACCTCGATCACGCCATTGTGAAGAGGTCCACCTCTTGGCGCCCGAACGTCTGGCAGAGCCAACTGAATGAGTCGACGTCGACCGTCCAATCCGAGGACAGGGAAATGAACTGGGACAGGCCATCCGCCAGGATGTTGGACACCCCCCCCGAATGTGAACGGCCAGGAAAGCCAAAGCCTGAGCAGCAGACGAGTCACCCTAAGCGACAAGCCCCAGAGAGCCATGGACTGCATCGAACCCCACCTCGGTTCAGACAATGAACCACCAGGGAGCAGTCCAAATGGAGCTGGATCATCGATCCACGGGTGACGCAAACCCTCCAAAGCTAAAACCACAACACCGCAAACTCCCGCATTGTGCTGTGGGCCCGACAGAAGGATGGACTCCACCGCCCCTGGCCGGTCTGGTCACAAAACCCCAGCCGAGAGACGATGGGTCCATGAACATATCGAGCAAGGGCTGGAGTGGGCGCCAAGGCACTGAACCCCGAAAACCCCGAAGAGGAAGCCAGCAACAAAACAGCCGATGTAAGGCCTCCAGGGGTCAAACCCAGCGATCGCAAGAGAGACAGATGGGATGTCCCCGAAGGAACCAGAACAGCCCACAAAGCCAAACCCAACCCGGCAGGTAGACCATAATGGCAAAGTTCAGGCTCCTGCACAAACTCTAGAGCAACCGTCGCGTGACCCGGGAGCCCCTTAGGAACAGTCGAAGGCGGGAACGCAGGCAAAGCAGAGCTGCCAGAGGAAGAGACAAGGAAGTGGTCTGAGCGTCCCACACAAGACCCAGCCAAGACCGAACCTGAGAGGGAACCAGATGGAACTTCCGCCAGTTCACCAAGAACCCGAACCCGGCGAGCTAGAAAAGAACCAAATCCCTGGCAAGCAGACATGCAGACCGGCTGGGAGCCCAAACCAGCCAGTCGTCGAGGTAGGCCAGAACCCGAAAACCTAACAGATGCAGATGGGTCACCATGACCTGAGTAAGACGTGTGAAAATGCAAGTCGCTAGATTCAAGCTGAATGAAAGGCCACAAAAGCGATACCCTTGACACCCCACAACAAAACCTAGTCAGTCCCTGAACCTCGGATGAACTGGGACATGCCAATACGCGTCGCGGAGGTCCAGGGACACCATCCAAGCACTCAGCTCCAATAGAAGATGGCCAGGACAGAGTAGCCATCTGATAAGCGGGGTAATAAACCTACGGGTTTAGATGGGACAAGTCCAGAATGAAGCAGAGGTCCGCGCAGTCCCACTTCGGGACTGGAAACAGGAGGGAAACCCATCTGAGGGTCGAGGTCATTTCGACCACACTCAAGCGAACCCACTCCGAGATGACTCGACAGAGTGCAGGAGAAGAGGCCTGCCCCGCCAGACCCGAACCCCCAGAAGGAGCAGCCACCGAACGCCACCACAGGCACGAAACAACGCAAAAAAGGCCCACAAATTGTGGGACCAGGCGTGAGCAAAGAGAATGAGCCTTCCTTTCATCGCCCCGTCAATGGGACTAATCGTGAAAGGGCCGACGTACCTTACGAGAACCAAAGCGGCGCACAGGGCGATCCCCGCGTCAACCAGAAAAAGACAGAACAAGAGGCTGCGCCTGCCCTGAATCTGGCACTGTTGGCCTACCATGACGGAAAGAATCCCGAGCCCTGAAATGACCCTTCCGGGAAGGCCCCCCATGAGTCCCCCCCCACCCCCCTCAGAGAACCAACAAGTCCAACATAGGATGGTAACTAACCAAAGCCGCCTGTAGATACTGCACCACCGCAGACTCTGCAAACAGCAACGGACAAAAAGGTAAAGACAACCGAAGAACCAGGGCCCAAGCAATTCCAAAGAAGAGGCAAGCACCGCCTGCTGACACGCGACTCGAGAACCAAAAAAATGTGAAATCTCATCCCACAGGTGCAGCGTGAACAGCCTCAACAATGCAGCCGACCCCCACACCCCAGAGGGCAGCGCACCAGACCCAGAGATGGCCCCAAGCCCCTCCACATCCAACTCAAGCCAATCCAAGGACAGCTCGAAGAGAGAGAAGAAACGCAGGGCCAAAGCCAGCAGGCCACATGTTTGCAAATCCTCCGCAACCAAGGCAGTCGAAAGGGAAGGAACCTACACATGAAGTTGCATCACACCAACATCCCGCGGAAGGGCAGGGGCGAACAAACAAACATTACGATGCTTTAAGTAGCCCCATCAGGAAAACCTGCAATGCCGTCTGAGCTTCTCTCCACTCACGCACACGGGACCGACAAAACTTGTGCCAAGCCTCCTACGAAAAGAGCAGGCAGTCGGCCAACCAGGATAACTCCAGAACTTTATAACGAACCCAGTATGGACACGAAGATCCATACACGAAGAAACGCGGATCCATCACGAAAGCATCATCCGCGTCGCAAGGGAGGTAAGCTGAGAGGGCTTCTCGCACCTCATGAGATGGGATGCGGGAAGCCGAAAACCTCCGGAAGGACGGGCCCGAAGAACCCATGGGATACAGGAACCGAACCCAGGGAGGGGTAGACGCCAAATCTAAGTCGTACAAGCAGGGAGCGAAAGAGAACCCATTTCGTTGTAACACTAAGCCCCACTCCGAGGGTAAAAAAAACCCAGGCAGGATCCAACAGGGCTCAAGTCAACTCTTTCCCCACCCCGGGAACCTCACCCTGAAGACCCAGGGTCGAGCTGTCCTCCAAACCCCCCCCCCCCACTTCCAAAGAAAAAGCAAGCGCCTCCAAAAAAAAGCAGGAACGAAGGAAGCCCACTAGTCAGACCCAGAAGCTCCAGCTGGAGGACTCGGCTCAAATGCCTCTGCCACAACCCCAGAAGGGGACTTCCCCGAGGCCACCCGAGTCTCAACACCAACTAGACCCTGCTCCAACTCCGAAACCCTCAGACATTTCAAAGTCAGAAGCAATGGTGGAGGAATGGATGCACAACAGAAGGGGCAGGACTAGGAGGGGCGGATAGAACCAAAGTCGAGGCGACTCCCACCCCCAAGTCCAGGTCCCTATAACCAAAAAGAGGCAGTCTCAGGGCATCCGAGGAAGCAACCAACCGAGCTTGTTGCAGCAACAGGAACCTAGCATACAACACAGCAGTCGCCTGCACCCGAATATCATGAACAGTAGCTTGGATGAACTGGAGCATGTACAAGCAACAAACGTCGCACGACTCTGGGTCAAAAGAATCACCAACTAAACAGGCTGCATGGTGGGGGCACAACCGATGAGTGTCACCCTGAGACAAGGGGGACATAGCAACTATCAAGCTCGCACAAAGCAAGAGGGAACTCAAGAGTCACATCCAGCGGACTACGTAGCCCTTGCGAAGTTTCCCAGGCCCTTAGCCTTAGTTACATGCTAAGAGAAGCCAAGCAGGGTACTGCAAACTGGCGCCCAAGTCTACCAAACGAACTGCTAAAAGCTGAACGCCCGGGACGTGTCCACTCATGGGGGCCTAGCGAGGGATACAACCAAACACATATATATACTGTACAGATATACCCCAACAACAGCTAGGGGAACGAATGAAAACAGATCCCCACCAGGCAGAAAAGAAAAACCCTGCAAGAGCCGGCCGCTATAAGTGGTGATAACTAGCTTAGCAGTATCCCGTGACGAAAACTATCAGTGACGAAAACTATCCCCCCCCTGCCCAGACACAAACAAGGGCAATGAAACCCCAGCTGACTCCAAGAGTGGCCAAGTACCAAGCAGTAAAAGGCACAGCGGAGATAGATCCCAAGGTGACTTGTGGAAGAAGGCCCCAAGCCCCAAAGGCAGTACTTACCAGGCACCTAGGGAAGTGAACCCTAGGAGCATGCAGCCCAAGTACCTTGGAATATTACTTCTGGCTCAAACACCACCTGTAGAGACAGCCCACATCACAAGACACAGAACTGAGACAAAAACAGGAGCCAGAGGC